TTTTTTTACTCAAACGAGACAATAGTGATTACTGTGACAACTCTGTTAAAGACAGAGGATGAAGACGGAAAAGAAGAATTCTTTCTGTTGTGCATAATGTGAGTTTGACAAAGATTCTTACTTCTTTCGGCGACTATTTATTTCCTCTTTGAAAAACTAAATGGAATGGAATGAATCATTCGTTCAAACAAACATTCTACTGCTTCAAATTTAAAAAAAAAAAAAAAGAAAAAAAACTATAGGCTCATCGGTGTGCGTAATTTACTCCTTTTGCTGTCTTCACTTTCGTATAAATGCAAGATAGGTATGTTGAATTAATTCATTAAATACTTGTTCTGCTAATAATTTTCCGAAAGTGTAAACAGAACTCATTCCAACAATTGAAATTCCTTTTTCTTTCTATCCTAATCGTTTAGCCGGAAAAGAAGATTCGGAAGATTAAAAATTCTAAGTTCCCAAGGAACTATATGATGCAGGACTGAAGCAATCAAACATCTATCTTCCATTTTATGCATGAAAGTACTGCTTCTTTTTTTCTTTTTTAAACTAAAGTAATACTTCTTACCTCCCTCTCTCACCTATCACCGCCAAGCAAAATTGTTTCCATCATTTTCGGAACAACGATATTTAAATGTTGAGAATGTCTAAAAGCAAAAATGGTTTTAAATTTCGACTTTGCAGAATAGTGACAATTTTTTTTTTCAAGTGTAAAATACACTTTGAAATTACCTGCAACTAATACAAACAACGGATGACAATAGGTTAATTGCCGAATTTATCCGAAGACCATACCGAAATTCCTGAATTTATGCCGGCTTTGTTATCCAAAACTGCGAGAAAAACTAGAAGGAACAAAAAATTTTAACTCCACAAAATTCTTTTGCTTGTTTTTTAACAATTTCATAAAAATATAAAAATCATTCGAGACAACACAAAAAAAAAAAAAACGGACATAATTACTTGGGATGAGTGCCAAAGTGAAATGAATGAAGAAGGAAGATAATTTCAAAAAATTACAAATAAATTAAGAAATCATATATGACAAATCAAAAATTACATGGCACGAGATGCTAGTGTTTGCTATCAGTGAACACTGATAAAAGAAATTATCTAATTTAACATACAAAAGTTTGTAGTATGCCAATATGTTACACATTTCCTCTCCAATTAACTCATTTATTCAAGATGGAAAATGATAAAGCATACAGTTACTATGCAAAACAAATGTACCAACGAATTTAATAAAAACAGAAACACCACCCAATTTTAGTGGCGAAATTATGTCATCTTGCAGTTTTCATGGTGACACTATGTCACCTAGTAATTTTCACAGTGATGTATGTCAGTTTTGTTGGAACATATTTCTGTTAAAAAGGAAGAAAAAAATGTTCGCATCAAATGATAAATGACAAAAAAGATTAAAAATGAATCAAGAAATTTCAAATGATAAGTTATGGCAGCACGAAACGTCCACTGTCTCCCACTAATGAAATTTAATTTCACTATGGCAACAGCAAGGTCACATATATATTTCATCTTAACGTGAAATGCATGAATAGTAGTATCAACGTGAATTTACGTCTCTTTACACTGAAATAATTAAAAGAAATGACATGAAAACTCGATAAGCGTAACTTAGTTCGCTACCACAAATGCCTGTTACAATAGGACAATTGTTATACTATATGTTAGACAAGGACGACTCGTAATTTTCTTTTTTTCTTTACTCTTTTTTTTTCTTCCGAGGATACAATACAATCACATCTACAATTCCTAAAATGCTCTTCCGCGTAATATGAATAGGATGGAATAAAATGGAATAGAACAGAATAGAGTGGAGTGGAATGGGATGGAATAGAATAGAGTGAAATAATGTAAGATAGAATAGAATAGAATGGAATGGAACAGAGCGGAATGAAAAGGAATGGAATGGAATGGAATAGAATGGAAAATAGTGGAAGAAAAAAAAAAAAGAAATGAAGGAACTACACTGAATCAGCTATTCATTCAATTCGTATAGAAGGTGGAGACATGTGACTGTTGATCAATGGGTAAAATTTGTTTTCAATTCCTGAAAAATCTCGAATAAATTCATTGGTACTGTTTGCTATCTAAACATAAATGAATAACATTAATATGAAAAATGAAAATGTTAGTTTCACTCTGTCTTTCTTCAGCCCTTTCCTCCCTCCCATCCCCAAATAAAAAAAAGAAAGAAAAAGGAAAAACGGATTGCCAAAATCCGTAAAAAAAAGAGATGGATTTCTTGAATGAAAACCGACGAAGCTATCGGATTTTCATTGAGTTGCATGAATTTTGCTTCAGTTTGCTTAGTTTAAGCATTCATTCTCTACAACCAATTTTTTTTTTTTTGTTTTATTAATGAAGAAAGAAATATGTAAGCATAAAATTACACAAACAATCATTCATTACCGTTTATGTGAGAAAAAAAAAAAAAAAAAAAAAGAAAAAAGAAGGAAATAAGTAAAACGAGAATTGGACAAAATCCCTTTAACACCTCAGATCTGTTCCCCCGCTGCTCCCAAATTTCTCTCATTATCCCCCGATAATCCACACAGTGGTACGAATATCTTGATCCACCATTTCCTCAATGTTATAACAGAATAGACTACGAAGTAAACGATGTCAATCAATGATTTAACGCAAAGCCATATGGCTTAGCCAATCATGACAGCTTACTACGCATCTGTGTCTGCCTGTGTCTTTCCCCGTCTGTCTCTGTCTGTTCATGTCTATGTGCATGTATGTATGTGTGTGTATGTATATATATATGCATGTATGTATGTATGTATGTGTGTATGTATGTATGTATGTATTTGTGTTTCCAGATAATTTCACCGAACGCAACGGAATGAGTAACTGGATTCACGAATTCTGTTGAAGATCGAGCAGTACAGCTTCGAAAACACTGTTCATTCATAAAATAGAAGAATAGCTATCAACATATATTTTGTTATCGGATGGATAATCCACTTCTGATACGATTAACCAGTCCCTTTAACGGAACGGTAGTTGAAAAATCGACATCATGGGGTCAGAAGGTTATCGTGTTCATTGTACTTGAACGTTAACACTTAAGCTGATTGATGTGGGGAAGGACTGAAAGAGCAATGAAAAGAGAAGTGAAGGTTTATTTTCATTGTCATTTTTTCAATTGTACAGCTCGTCCATTACCATTCATGGCTGTACCGTACCACAAAGTGAATGATATATTAAAAGGTGGAACGAAATAGGCAGAAGTGGATCCGTAAATGAGTGGTGAATCAGGTTTACCCTTTAACGATTTGGATAGCCTATTGACCCATTTCCGTTCCGTCATTTCAGTCCGCTCAACTTTCTTACCATTGTCATCATTGCGATTAAATTAATTCACGTGAATTACTTACACAAATCCTTTTTATGACTTCATATAATCACGTAATCACGTTCGAGTCAGAATCTTCCAATCATTTGAAAATCTAATCAATTAGATAGTCGGATAAGTGCCCGTACTCAAATAATTCATTCAAATAAAATCATTTCAATACACTTTTAACTTTAGCATATATCGATTAAAATACATTAAAGGCAATAATCGTGAGCGGGAAAAAAATAAAACAAAGCGCAGGAAAAGGATTGTACTCAGTAATCGATAAAACAAAAAAAAAAAAGGAAATGAGACATAATATTCTCATTAGAAAGACATTTCTATGCTAGAAATTATCCTCATTGGCCTCATTGGATAGTACATTTTGGAAAAAATAATATTATGCACACATGTCCCCATATATTCGATCTTTTCAAACAATCCACCTATCTATCTGTAAGTTGACATTTTGCGCAATATTAAAAGTTAGTGGATTTGAATTTACTGGAATTTCAGAATGGTGACAATCATCTTAAATGTTTTAAATTTGTTGCTATTCCAAATCATCAAAAGTAATGGGAGAAAAATGAAATAAAGTTAACTGAAAATTGATAAGGACAATGGAAGGGAATAATTTAATGATTTTCCAATTACATCTTAATTACTATATATTTTTTTTTAGATTCTGCATTAAACACAATTGTCCTTATTGATCTTTGTATAACATCAAAAAGGAAGATGTAATTTATCGTAGCAGTTCAAAACTTCCAAAGGTTAAAAGCAACTGTTAGGAATTTTGTTCCGCGGACGAATTCTCTTTCTTGATTGTTCACGTCAGGGCACAAACTCTTTGTAGCTCGCTCACTTTCGATAGGAGGGTTTGATTGGAATGCTTAATTGGCCTTAGTTTTTCGACGATGTTTATGCGCAATTACTGATAATAGGGGGATATGATAAGCACGTTTAGTGCAAGAACAATGATTACTGTAAAAAGGAAATGTGTTGACAGTGAAAATAAGAGATGAGAGCACTGCTAAGAGCCTTAGTTCACAAATGAATAAGAAAAAGGGGAGTGAAAATTGAGTCAAATCTGATAAAAAACCAGTAGAAAAAGGAGAAGTAAATGAGTCGTTGAGAAGTCGAGCAGTAGATGAGAAGTGAGTCAGCAAGTGTCCACTCCGTCCCACTTGATCCTTTTATAGCATAGACCGACCAGTGGGTTTGGCTTACAAAAATTTCAGACATAGTATGATCTTTGAATGTTAAACAGAGGATGATTGATTTAGTTTTTCTGACAATTGCATATGAGGTATTAAAGATCAAAAATGACAATATTTCGGCATAAATTGGCATAGTTATAAACGAGAGGTTCTTTACAATATGCTGATGACGGGAAATGTTGGACAAATGATTTAATTTATACACTGAAAATATACATTATGATTTTTGGAGTTTTTCCCGACAGTAACTGAAAAAAAAAATTGAAATTTGCTTTCAATCAGGTAAGGAAGGAGGAAGCCGTTAAGCATTGGATAGCAAAAAAAAAAAAAATATACCAGAAGTGAAAGGAATCAGTTGCAGTATTTTAGATTTAAATTGGATAGACATTTTTCGTACACCTTTGGTCCTACCTTCGATGAAATTTAATCCATTTGACTATCTTTCATTGTTTTCTTCAAAAGTTGAGACATTTTTTCACTAATTTGAAGTTCTTTCTATTCCTAACTCTGTCTCATTTTGATGCTATCTCCATTTCGTTTCTAGATCATCTGATACTTACACTGCAGTCGGAATCAATTCAATCCAATAAGTTGTTCCCGTACGAAATACTTCATCTATTTTATATAAAAGGAAGGGAATTCATTGAAATGGAAAAATAATTCAGTCTTTATATTTCGATAATTTTTTCTTTACCAGAGATAAGAACTATTTTTTCGATTGAGATTATGTTTGAGAAATGTCAGATCAAATGGTTAATTCGCTTAGTGCCAAAATAATCACTGTAATGTGTCACTTTCATGTCATTATCGTTTTTAAACAATCGAAATCAGCTTGTACGTTGTGCATCATTTGATTAATTTGAAAGTGTCATGCAGCGAAAAGGAAAAGAGAAATTGGATAAAGCCATTTATTTTCTGAAACAAAACAATAAAGGTCGATTTCAAATAACATAAATGCATTCATAAAAAGTACAGTTGAACATTTGATCGAACAGGTTTGACATTATTTTGTGGCAAATCATAAAACGATAACGGTGTTTCAACATAACGTCCTCCACCAGCATCCTCATCTATAAATAACATAATTTAAGAAATGAGAAAATAAGAATTCCTGCCAAATTTAGATTATGTACAAACTTAGTTGAAGGATTTACGAATTTTAAAAAAAAAACCTGATATTTATGATTTATTGCTTAATAAAAATGATTTAGCAATTGGATCATTAATGACTGTTGAATCATAATCCGGCAAACCTTACTGATTCATCTTTCATTACAGGATATTTCATTATATCCTGATTATTTCCTGCAAAAATTAAACTATCGAAACTCTATAAATAAACAAACCTATTGGAACATTATCATATCGGCTACAGTCATTGTGTAATGAGCCAGTGCTACTGCTATTACAGCTACTTCTGGCCACATCAGACCATTCATCCGCTGAAGATGATCGCGAATCATCTTCAATTCCATTTTTCGACTTCTTTTTACTTCTTGTTGCATTCATATTGGAAGCTACATGCAAGTCATGTTCAGATTTAACATTTGCACCACTTCGTTTCGTCCACGTTTCCTTCACATCTCGCAAACTTGCCCCTTCCTCTAGTGGCTGTTCATCCTCGTAGAAGCCAAAAAAGCGGTAACTGTCAGACGACAAACTTACACCGTCATCAATACAGTCATTTCTGAAGTACAATAAAACCAAACTTAATAATATTCGTTTTTTTTCTCATGCAATGACTTGAAATTTTTCGTTTAGAAAACTGAATTTAAAAAAAGAAAAAACGCACTGCGCAACTGATGGCGGTCGACTATTACCAGAATCACTCGTATCCAACGAAAATGCTTCCGGTATACTGCCCCTTACACTTGATTCTAATTTAGTATCTGTCGACTAAAACATATGATAAATGTTACTGATAATACTCGGAACATTGCGCAAATATTTGAAAAATAATTTTTCTCTTAAAATAAATTTTTTAAAGTCCATATGCAATCATCTGATTTCTTCTGCTTTTTTTTTCTAATAGTAATCTTGATATTTTTTAACATTTTAAGCAACGATATTTCAAAGGTGTAATTTGCAAATAACTTTAACGTTCAAAAAAACTTTCTCGGAAATGATGAAATGTTTTTTCATCATTTCCGGAAATGATTTTCGGAAATTTCTCCAAAATGATGAAATGTTTTTTCTTATACAGAGAGGTATAATTTTAGAATAAAAATTTTCCATTAATTTTCTGGAATTGGTAATTTTTTGAAACTAATAATTTCAAGATATGATAGATATTGCTTACTGTTGACGGTTGTTGATCGTTAGCCAGAAAGCTCGTTAAGCCACGACGCCTTACAAGTTCTGTTGCAACTGCTGTTGCTGTCGAATGTCGTTCTTCGCCCGTTTCATTTGTCATTGAATCATTACGTAATGTTGGAGCACAATGCCGCCAGCTTCGTAACACGCCATTACGGAATTCCTCAACACTTTTCGTAACGAATGAAATTAGCGATGCACTGCGTGCTGCACGTAATGATGCCCGTACGTCTGATGGACTTCTGAAAATGCATGCATAATGCATGAAAGTATGCAAAGTTTTTCATATAATGATATTCATATATTTTCGCATATATTGTTCATATAATATTTAATTTACCTAGAAGAATGAAACCTAACTATGTCTCATAGAGAAATTAAAGTACCTTCGCCATTTCACACTGCTAGTCGAATTATCACTATCTAAATATGCTTCGCCATGTTTTTTCCATCGTGTACGCAAACTGGCAAATGCATTGTCCATCGATGGACCACGCAACATGCGTCTCCATTTGCCACCAGGATGCGCACTTGTTTCTCTGCATTTCGAATTAATTTATGTCTCACTCTCAAACCCTGACAAGATTGACATTACATTGGCAAGCACAGAAATCATACTGGACATTGATTATCATCCTTGAAGTTACTTTTTCTCTGTATTTTGAACGAAAATCTGAAATTTGAAATACCACCTAAATTTAAATTTTTGATCATGGACCGACTCAATGTATAAAACATGTATCCATCCTATTCTCATTTGATAGCATCATTTCACCAACCTGTGTCGTGGTCTTTCAATAACGGCATGAAATGCAGGCAATGTCGCAGGTCCTCCATTAACATCAATAAAACGACGACGATCCAAGTCTGGTGATAGGGTAACACCGCTACATGATGATTCCGATGATCTGTTTATCGCATCTAAATAGAACAGATGTTTCACATCGATACTTTTAAACAAATAATCAATTGATTATTAATTTAAATTATTAAATGTCACATAAGAATTAGAGCTATTGTATTAAAGCGTGTGCACGTGTGTGTGTGTGTGTGTGAGTGTGTATGTGTGTGTGTATGTATAACAGAACAAGAGAATTGTAATCAGGATTTAAAATGAAAATTAATAATCAATTCAAAGCGACTACTCTATGTTTCACGTGTATTTACATGGAATTTCGAAAATTGAAGTTGACAATTTTTCGGCAAACATTGGTTTTCACAAAAATTTAACTAATGTACACTTATTACTTTCGTTTAGCAAGCTGTTTTATACTGTTATCAATGGCTTGAAATAATTTGTAGAAGAAGGAAAAATAGACATTTTTATGAATAATATTTGTATATTATGAAATGAAAGGAACGAACTTTCTGGAAGTGAAAGGGAATCATTTTCAAGTGAGAACAGGTAAACTGCATGGGCAAGTATATAATTACAAAGACCCGTTTGCGCATTAAGACCCTGCAAAAGTGATGAATCACTGCCACCAGAATCGCCATTAACGCACGGTGGGCATCTGAAAAGTTCATTTGAGAGAAAAAAAAAAAGAAAAAAATTCGAAAAAATAAAGAAATTTTTTAAATAATTTGATTTAAACGATACTTAGAAACAAGGGAAAAACAAATGAAAATAACGGAAATTAAAGTGAACCGAAAACCTGAACAAGTTTGGAGCCCAAACAATTGCAAGATTTTTGGAGTTCATATCCGTCAGATGCGTACATTGGCATAATTTGGTAAGATGACGGATCAAATATTTTGCCGTCCTATAAATTAAGAAAACGATAATCATTTGTTGAACGAAACAAAAACCTTTGAATTTGAATTTGGAAAAGATTACGACAAATTCGTAATGAATTTACTAGTCCTGAAAAAAAGAAATGCTTAGCTCTGAAATGAATTGTGAGAAAATTATCAAGAAGCATTTCATGCCAAAGTTTTTCGTGCAGTAAACTTGGCAAAACTAATATTACGTATGTGTCTTTCTGCTAAACACCATTCCTGTTAACTGGCATAAACTTCCGTTGCATAAAAACAAATAATTTTATGGTTACTTGGATATGTGAGTTTACCTGTAATGCTCACGTGGTAATCTTCCAATGACATCTTTAAATCGATTCGCCTGTTCATCATCAGTTGTTTCATATGCACCCTGTAATATCAGATTAATATTAATAACGAATAGTTTCCACTCAAATTAAATTCCATGATTTCACGGATACGATCTTTCGTAAATTATGTCAATTTGAATGACTGAAATGGTAACGGTTTGAAAAATCTGTCAAATGATCCAAACTGACATTCGACGAGTTTCGATCACTTTCAACAACTATTCAATTATTCAAGTTTACCACGAAAATACAAACATCCTATTGTAATTTATAACTATTTTCCATTTTACCAAATTTAACTTACTATGAATTCCGGATAAAGTTCGAATGTAAACAACGGATTCGGTAGCTGACGAAAATATTGCTTTAAAAGTGATGAAACCGAATGAATGTCCTTTAAGATAGCTTCATCACGCAAATCTGGCAAATGTCCTGAATCGAAGCCATTCCTGAAAACCATAGTATATTCGATCATATTGGAGTTTTGCTTGAAATGAATTTAAATCAAAAGTACTAAGTTGCCATCCTTAATAAGTTTATAAAATGCGAGAAAAAACAAAAAGATGAATAACAGATGAATCGAAATCAAAGAATAACAGATAGACTGAAAATACAGATATCGAAAAGTAGAAAATCAAACCTGAGTTTTTGTATATTTGATTGTATACCACATTGGCGGTAAACACCAGTAACAATACCATGCATTTCGATCACTTCCACACATTTTTTCAATATTAATGGTACTGTAAAAACAAAACCCAATAATTACTTAATTTACATAAATAACAAATTATCCGATTATCACGTGCTTGCCAGTTAGAGTTGATCGCATAACATTGTCTTAATGTCGTTTAGAACCTAAGTGTAGCATCATCAACACATGTCTGAATATAAAATTTATTGTGAACTATTTCTTTACAATATTCAAGTATACAAACATCAGCAACGATTTGTTATCCAATTAATTTAATCACTGACAATTTAAACGGCTGATAATTCATGGTTTTAGGAAAGGGTCGGAAGGTCATGACTGCTGATCATGAAAAATAAACATAGTATACCATGTGATGAGTTCAGACAGATTGAATTAAGAATTTAGAACTCGAAAACCAACCATCTTCACCGGTTTTCTGCAGATATTCAACCAGATCCGTCCCGAAGACGAGCGGAGTCTGTCGTTCCGCATGTCTTCGTAATAATGCTCGCACTAAGGAACGATCCCGTCGTGGTGGATGCCGTTCTGTTGATTTTCTGGACGTTGGTGCCAAATTTGTGGTTAGTTTCAAGGAATTGTGATCATTGACAGGTATGGTAGCTGCGTCTTTTTTAACGGAAGGTAGCTGTTGATCAGCTAGCGGTCCTGTCTTGTCGTCGAATATCTTGACGCACTCACTCGGAAATAATCCGACCTAAAATGTTCGAAACGTAGCGTAAATGGCTGAATACATTGTTCGATACTGATAGTTAGATAGTACACTTTATATTCAAGTAATTCTGCTGTCAAAAATGCTTTGAGTATGTCTTTTTCCTCTACTAACTAATAGTAAGTGGAAAAGCGGAAATTTTTCCCGGTATATTCATCTTAGAGGAATAATATGTTGATCAAAGAAAAAGTACGCCCGCAAACCCTTATTGTAATAGATTTTAGTAATTTAGCGAATTGATTAGATTTTTTACAAATTTAAAATTTTATCAAAAAGGCTCGAAATGATGTGCATGCCGAAATTTTGAAGCCCCAAAAATACCTCAAACTTCCTGCCGAGAATAATTTTGCCGTTTTCGTTTTTAGCAATTGTCAGTTTAGCTTTCCACCACGACTTATCTTTGTTATTGAACGGTGTCACTTTTTCGATGATGGACACTATGTCGCCAACCTGAAATTTCGAAAACTCTTTAAAATACTTCTTTTCATCCATTTTAATTCGCATATATCGTAATTTCATGTATATTACATAAAAAAGGAATTATTACTTTCAAACAAATTTTAATGGAAGTTTTAAAAGAGAATAAAAGTATGAAAACAAAATTAGTTGAAATATTTGAAAATTGATAAAAAATTTTGGGAATAACAAAGAAATATGACGTAAACTTATTGAATAATAAGTGCTAAACATGTAATAAGTATTTTTAGGAGTACGATAGAATAAGAGAAAAAGGTAAGTTATGAATGGATTATTTTGTTGCCACCGTTGTTACATATACAGAAATGAAATAAAAAATTGAGGAACCCATGCTAATATAAAAAAGTATCAGCAAAAGGTTTATTTGGGAAAATATACGAGGTGCAAGACAGGTTAAGATGGGTACCATTTTTGAAAGTGTAAATTGGTTAGTATAAGATAGTAACAGGAAAATTATTCGTACCATGACAACTTTGGGTTAAACGCAAAAATCGCACGTTTCAATTCAGATTATATCCAGCTATCCTAAATGTGCACGTTTTATAAAGATTACTTAATGCTAATTTAATCTAAATTATCTCATTCAGATCTACTTCATCCACAGCTAATCTATTTTGAAATGAAAAGAAGAATGAGAATAAAAGTGAAAAGGATTGTGTTACTCATTGAAATGAGTAATGCAATCAAAAGGGTGAACAAATATTGATATATTTTGTTGGATAGCTTAATCCTTTGATGGATTTAACGTAATTTTAAAACAAAGTGGTAATAGTGTTACTTAGGAAATTGACATAACAACCACAATTGGAATGCGATATTGCTAGCATTTACTTACAAATATATTGTACTGAATAATTCGGATGATTTTGAAAAGATTTGAAGACATTTATTTCACTATTTAAAAAATCCTCTAATAGCCTGCAATGGAAAAGAGTCGAGAATGATACTGATGATCATATGATGCAAGACTGTAAACGATTTCAATGATAATAAGCGATACATTTCGGACAGTTATTATGCGTAACGATGAATTGTGACGAGATCATTTAGGTCACCATGATAGAGAAAGGTGCATTCTATAGCAGTAATTAATCATGAATTGTATGAAAGTAGGAATAAATTGCAAAAAATATCAAAGATCGAGAGGACATTAACTAAGATGTTCTATAAC